ACGTATATATTATATAATACATATACATACATATACATATATATAATATATATAAGAACACCTGATCTTGTATATTAAGAAATATGAAAAAAATTATTATTAGAATTTGTAATCTGAAATATTTAGTTATGAAAACGAGTTTATTTATTATTTCTGAAACTTTAATCTTTTGTAAAAATTCTTCTTGGTTCCAAATTATTTACATTTCCTAATTTATAATTAACTTGAATAATCGGAAATTGAGTTGCAATAACGCATATTCGAGCATCAAAATATCCGGAATCACTGTACTATTCTAATCTAGACAAGAAAAGAGCAAAAGTAAATTAGACCTTCTATTATGTTAATTGCTTCCTGCCGTTATTCGCTCGATATACATAACATCAGTTGCAGACTATAGTATTATTTCCGAAACTGATACATGATACAGATACTAAAAACGTTAAAATGCAATACCCGAAGCATGCCCGTGCATTTTTACGCTGGGATGAATTTACATGAGAGCAACATGCTGCATACAATGTCTATCATCTTGGAACAATACCGACTGATTTGCCATCTGTACGCGCAAGTCGCACACGAATTACATAATGCAATGTATTTTCAAGAGTCGCTTTGCAACACTCGTATGTTGCGTATTCTTGATAGTGATTTCCTGTTAATTTTTTTTTACGCAAAATCCAATACGTACGATCTAACATACAATGCGAAACTTCTTTTGATTGACGTATGCGTTTTTTTTTGCCATTTTAAAATATACCACATGAGGAAAAAAATTGCTTATTATGTAAAGTTAATATCAGATATAGACGACTGGTTTTGTTCTCAGAATGTTAGCGCAATCACAATATAGAAAAAATTGTCTAATGAAAAAATCATCATAATATTTTTAAGAAATTTTCATATTTCATATCTATGAAAATTTCTGAAAAATACCTTAAATTTGTTTAGATTCTTTTCTATATGGATTATAAAAATATTTAAATATTTCATAATTTAATATATAAAGAAATTCTAAAAAAAAAATCTCAGCATTTTCTGAAAAATATTTTAATTCGTAGAAAAAAATCTGAGAAATTTTGTAAAAAGTTATAAAAATATATAAAAATTATATTAAATTTATATTAATTAGAAATTGTAAAAAATTTGGAAAAATTTGGAAGAATTTTAAGATTAATTTTAAGAATTTTTTATCTCCTTGTGAAAAAATTCTCATATTTCATAATATTTTTAAGTATTTTTCATATTGAATTTATACAGGTTTT